TATGAGCCCACATTTTCTTGCTTGTCTTATTGGCGTTGTCCAAATATTAGTTATATTACTCAATAATATATCGTAGGGGTCAATTCATAATTCAACCAAAATTAAAAATATGGTAATAATATATAAAATAGATATAGTAATATTGTAATTTAATAAAGGCTACTTATCATTCAATTACTAAATAAAATATTATAAAATTTATCTAACAGAAAGAATGAGTAAGCAACAGTTATTATAAAATGAATTAGTTAAATGAATAAAAATCGTATTGAGAAATATTTGATAGAAAATTCACATTTTTCATATTTTTATAAATTTTAAACTTCGAACTATTGTTTTACTTTAGCATCAATACATAACGATTACCTCACTTCAAATACATCTTTCTCTCGCTGTTATTTTGACATAAAAACAGGAAAGAAAAAAGGAACGCAAAAATAATTCGCAGTTCGAAATTCAACGGCACACCACCATTTGTTCGCAAAATTCGCATCGTTCTCCGGTACGGTGTCAACAGGAGAGTATTGGGACGGAATGATCTAAAAGAGATGTACTCCCGTAGGGGTGACAGTATTACCAAGTTCTTCCTGCAATTAATAGGTCTGAGTAAAGGCAGACCCTAACCCCATTTCCCATTATCCTCAAAGGATTCCTTCTCTTATCGCTGTTTTATAGAATGAAGAAAGGCAAGGATAGAAAAGATGGAACTCCACATTTAATGTTACTACTCTCAGGCCCAGTAACAAAATGAATGACATGATTTTCCTTCGTTTAGGATAAATGTTTTGTCAAATAAAAAATCTTGACAAAGTTGGATGAAAGATGATGAAAGGCCAAATAGACGTACCAGTTCCGACAAAGATATATTTATGATAATTTGATCGGTTTTTTGGAAAAATTTACAAACTAATAGTGGCATATAATTTTGCTGAATAATTCATGTATGCAACAACACTTAAATTATCTGTAAGAGAAATTGAAAAAGTACACATGAAATTCTCGTTGATTATACAAACATTCCTGTAAAAATACCACCATCAAAAAAATGATCAAACAACGATCATTTTTTTGTGATGGCGGAACTGTCTCAAGTAAATGCACCGAATGAGGCTTGTCATTTCATAAAATTTCCCATTCTCGTGTCTAAAGCTATTTCCCCAATAGTAATGGCGGCAATAAGAGCGATGGCAATGGCAGTGGCAGTAGCCGGGAGCGCAATAATGACACTATCAATAGCCTTAGCAGACCTAAGGCTGCTCTTTTTACCCCAATCATCCTCTCTTTTCCCTCACGAAATGAGACATTTTCGGTTGATCGTTTTTTTTCAATCTATTACTCAAACAAAAAGAGATAGAGCCTCAAGAAGGCATCGTAATTGATTTCAACCATTCTCTTTGTTTTTGTTTTTTTGCTTTTCAAACTAAAATTCGCAACTTCTTATTTCCAAGAATAATTTACCGATGGTATCAGCGATTCTCGAAGCTTTTTTTGACGTTTAAAGAGATCATTAGCAAATATTGGGAAAATATTAAAATTCTTCATTCAAAGCATTCCTGTACTCTATTCTTCTTTCACGGATTTTGAGCGAATTTGCTGAAAATCGACTCAATTTTGAAATATCAAATTTTATTTTCTAAATTGCTATTTCTGATAGCTGAAGTCCAATTTGAATAACATTTGATGTAAACTATTTGATTGCATTTTATTCACAATAATAAAATTTCAATTTATTAAAACATATTTACAACGAAGGAAGGAAAATAAATAAATCCAACTTGTAACAATTATAAATTATGACAAGAACAGAGCAATAGACAGAAAGGTTCAAATCGATTTGATTAATTTGAGGAAGAAAATCGCTGGTAAATCAGAAATATGAAATGGGGAATAATAAGAAAATGTAGTTATACTCGATATGTTTACGCCAACTGTAAATAACTGCCGCATAACTAATCACTAATACGATCGCATGATTATTTATTTAATGATTTGAGAGAAATATTTTTCAGCTTTGAGCTATCTAAAAAGCATTCTATAAGCATAAAAATTTCTTCACTGTCTTTTTCATTCCTGAGCACTTTCAGAAGCTAATCACTAGCTTACTTTCATATCACAGAAAGCGGAAATTGAAAAATGGCAACTGAAATGGTTGTGATAGCATTTGTCTATTTCCTGAACGACTAAAACAATAATAGAATGGAAATAAACGTATGAGAAGTAATGAAAAGCAACTTTGGTATGTTGGGATAGCAAGTGAGGATGAGCTGATGCCAACCAACTAATAGGCCTGATTTAGCTTAGCCTACTATCTTGGCCAAGTGGCATTATGCAATAAATGGAAGGCAGAGAAAATGATAGGTAAAGTGTCTCGAGGCACATAGGATCTTCATGATTATTGCTCATTTAATTAAATGAAACGGATGTTAGTTACTGCTACAGCTATTGCTTCTGCTGTCCGGAACAGTTACCTCATTGGTGAATTGCATTGTATTATTAATGCATCGCTCCATTTGTGTCAACCTCTGTGAACATTCTCGTATAATTGATGCATTTCTGGTTGCGTTATATTTTCAAACTTAAATATATAACGAAAAAAATAACACAACTCTTTTCCGTATGGAACTTTCCACTGCTAATGTGAGAAGCGACATTTTCATTCTAAATGAAATGGATTGATTGATATATGTAAGGTTTTAAATCGAATACTGTAAGGGACTAAAATGATTGACGAAAAGACTGACATTCATTTTAAAGAAAAAGGAAAAACTTTTAGATGAGAATTATCCACATCACCTAATTTCGAAATTTCAACAGAGACAATCATATTTCTTTAATTTAGAATCATTTTTCAAAGTAATCCCGATTGCAACTTGTCTTATATGTTTGTTATGACATTCAGGTGAATATTTCATTCCTGACATAAACATTTTTCAAGATATGATCATGATTTTCTTTTTTCTGTTTAGTGTTTTAAAACAATTTTCTGTTTCTTATAGCACAATTTTAACTTTCTGATTTAATATACTTGAGGACTTTTTTAATTTCATTCAGTAATTTGAAATAATACAGTTAGAATAGCAAATGGTCGTAATTATAAATTCTATAAACAGTTATTATCCTTGAAGCTATTATTTTCCATAAATATGAACAATCGCAGTAATTTCATCTTTCCTCGTAAATTTTAGTGATTCTTTTGTTTGCATTATTTTTGCATTATTTAAATGACATTCTATTACTAATAATCACATTTCCTTTCCTACCTGTCAAGTTTGCTCAGATTTCCTTCTCCTTCAATTATTAATAAGTTATAATTTCAAAAGAGAGAAACATTTTCTATAAATTATTAATTTTTTGAATGAATTATGCATAAATGAAAAATATGTCCTTTGTCCTCTGATGTGTTTTACATTTATCATTAAGCGAAAAACAAAATTAACAGGAAATAATTCATCCATCTATCGATATGATGACGGAGAGATGAATTCATCTTCTTGTCAGTTTTCGTTGTTGCAACAAAAATAGATTGCTAATTGTAAAGTAATTGAATTAATTAGTATTTATCAGTTATATAATATTTATCAGTCACACAGCTATTTCAATGCCAATTTTTATTTTAATATGACAATTAAATAAGTTTTTTTCAACCATCATTTCCTATCCTTTTTAAAACTTCTTTATAAACAAATAAATTGCAGAAGTAATAAGGAACTAATTAATTAGGCAGGCGCAAAAAGTAATCATCCAGAAAATTGTTTGCTTATTTATTAATCATTGTGCTAATAAACTTTACAATGTCTTCTCGCGATTCTGTTAAGAATTTAATTTAGTTCAAATTACTTTCATAATAACTACCAGAATGTAAGCTTCGCCAAATGTGGGGAATTATTATTTATCACCTTCCAATTGCATTTCGTTATTACTTTCCCATTTTCAAAATATCCGCCTTTGTTCAATAATCAATTTCTTCTATCCTACTTGAGTTTACTCTCCTCAATCTTCTAAGGTAAGATTGAAACATTTTCTCAATTTTCAAAATACACCATTATTTTTAGTTATTCTGATTTTCTTTAACTATTATTTTTGAATCATATTAACCTTTAGAGACCCTTAAAATTATTTTGTTCTACTCCCAAGAAGTTTCTAATTTTGCAATAGTCTATAAATCGACTATTCTCAGAACATAAAGACTAATCTCCTGAACAAATCTTTAAATAATTTGAAAAAGTATTCTAAGTTTAGACGACAAATATTGCTGCTTGGCTAGTAAATCAAAATTAAACACGAAGTTTATTAACTTCTCGGAAATTTCCGGGGTTGGTGACTACACTTCCATAATTTTGTAGTTTAAAATGACTGTTAATAATTCGATTATTTAATTCCCACTATTACGATGTTTAAGAATGCTTTTATTATACTCTTTATTTGAATGAATTCAAGTATTACTAAATAAATGAACCAAATTTTTAGCCTACTTGAAATGAGATAGAACAGAATAGAATATTCGACGATAACGACTACATGTGCAAAAATATACGGTAAAGCCGACGTAGCAATTGATAAGTGACAGCACGTCAAGTATATCGGCGATCGTTAAATATACATAGAAATGAAACTGAGCTGTATAAATAGCTGCAAATGAAAACTTCTTTACATCATTAATAATGAATTTATTTCAAAAATTAACTAATTTTACTGTGCCATATTCCTACCATTGATTTGACAGTAATAAAGCATTGATGAAGATCAGAAAAGTTAGATTCAAATTAATTTTATATAAAAATAATTACTGCAATTGTAATAATGAATGTAGCAAATTTCATGTCAATGCAATAATATTAGTCTGAAATTTAAGTGAATGAATGGATGAATTTAAATAATGAAAAATGTTGATTTGATTTGACAATTATTTGATATTCTGCTTCATTAATTTTTTACAATTTCAAAAAATCCACATCATTTTTCCGTTTTAGTCTATTAAAACTACAATATAAAAAATGCTTTCAATTTGATGACATCAACAAACCATTAAAAATAGCAATAATTCCCTGTGGTAATTCCGTAGACAAGAAGATAGAAACCATTAGAAGTAGCATACAAGTAGTACGATCCTTGTAAGTTCCATCATTAGCTCTATCTCGTAATAGCGCTTCTCGTTTCTGTCTATTCTTGGCCAATTTTATCAGTAGACAATATGTTAAACCCAGCAATAATATGCATGGTATCACCTAAAAGGAAACTGTTAAATGAATGGATTGTATTTGTGGTAGACTAATAATGTTGAATTTAAATAAATCTCACTTTCATTATGATTCCAGTAAGCCATAAATTCAATTTCAGTAGAAAACAATCGTTTTTGATGAACATCTTGGAGAGACCGATATTGTATTTATTGGAAACCGAACTTGAATCTGATATTGAGAGATCTGTAGAGTGAACTGTTTTTGATTTGATGAAATTTGAATTGTTCTCCTGCGGTCGAATATCATGTGCTAGTAATGTTGGAATACACAAAGCAAATATTGCAAGAGATATTGATAATGATATAAGCCTGAAAACTTTCAGAAATTACGATAAATCCCGACATTTCTTATTATTAGTTTTGAAATTATTGAAAAAGTTTTATAGTAATTTAGAATATTCTTAATTTCGTATATGAAAGAATTTACGCGGCAACTTTGGTTTCAAGAAGTCGACTGCGTTGAGTTTGCATTGAACAAAGTCGGATGTAAGTGATGAAAACGAGAAGGTATAATGATATGCTATGTAGTGCAGTACTCAATATCACATGCAATTTTAGCAGTAATACCCAACCGTAAGAGTATCCGCCATTACTGCTTGCACAGAATTCATATCGTAAGAGGTAAATCTTAATTAGCTTAATTAGGAACACAGTAATATAGAATATGAAACAATTACTTAAGAATTTTAGATAGTGTATTCTATTTGATGATAATATCATATTTCGTATTCTGTGTTCGTTAAACATTACATATGGTAGTAAATGATCTCTCGATAGAAATTAAAGAATCGAAGTGCTTATATTCATTAAGACAAACTTGTTTATCAAAATTTATCAAAAATTATCTTATTTTGTTTTAAAAACGAAAAAAGAAGATTAGGAGTTCAAAATCAACCTAAATTTAACGATGTTACTATCATTTTTTATCAGTTAATTGCTATTAATATTCTCAAAAGTATTTTATTTTCATCAGGTTTCATCAGGATTTTTCATTAAATGCTTCACGTTAACACTAAATATCAAATCAATTTAGAAAATTAAGCTTTTAAAAATTTAAAAATAATAAGATTGTCAGCAATTATAAAATATCACACTTACAGCGTATGAACTCATCGTGCCACTGTCAGCCAATGCTATACAAATAAGAACGGTATGAACGGAAGATCGTAACATTGCTGGCCTTCTAAGGATCCAAATATGTGTACAATTTGCTAACAATCCAAAAACACACAGTAGCATACTAATATATTTATGAAATTTACGATAAAATCTGCAAGGGGATTTTCAGATTTCATTTATGAAATGAAACATCAAATATATATGTTTTCTGAATTAGTAAATTCAATTCACATGAAAATTTATTTATTCTTTTTTCATCAGAATAAATTAATTACATTTATCTTCGATTATGATAGTAGCTATACAAGTGACTTTATTAGTAGCTGAAATACTGTTTTCATTAGATTTTATATTTTAAAAATAAAAACAAACTTTAGTAATGTATCATTATTGTAGTAATCTTAAAAACTAATAAAATTTTTAAACGTTGAAAAAAATTTAATTTCTGAAATTGAATGAAAAGAAAAAAATGAAGTGAAAAAGAAATTTAAAGAATTCAAATCTAACAGAACATGTTATGAAAATATTTTTAAATAATAAAATATTGTAGAGGAAAAAACATGCTTTGGTTATTTACGATACCTCTTGAATAGATGAGAATTCTTAACAATTTCAGAATTGAAATCCGACAAATAACATTTTTCATGTTAAATTATTTTAAATTCCAATTGAATTTTTCAAGACGTCAAATTTAATTCTTTTTAATAAAAGCAATGCATTTATTGCAGTAAAGTTTGATAACAAACTTACAAGCAAAATTCACTCACAGCATTGAGAATTGATAATGCAATGGTATCCTTTTCGTCGAAAAGTTGTGGACTATTTGGACATTCCATTTATTCCACTTTGAAGTAAATTCAAATCTCTCTTTATTACTATTTAAATATTAAATTAAATCAAATTTCGTCCAAATTAATGTGTTTTTTCTTTCCTTTATTTATAAAAAAAAAGCGCTGATCGATATAACATATAATGAACATTGGCGTTAAATAGTTTTTTCAAGAAGCTTATACTTTTCAAAAAAACATTTTCTTCATTAGTAGTAATTCAACATCAGTAATAAAATTAAGGCTTTTACTATAAAGTATCCATTTATGAGCTGAAATAACGTATAATCAAAGTGATAAGAAATGAAAATCATTTATTCAACCAGTCATATTTGCATTGCAATAAAAAAATTATTATAATTTAGAAGAGATGAAATTTTGTTTTACAGTGACATCTGTTATCAGTGCAATAACCATCAAAAAATTCCCTGAGATGATAATTGTTCTATCTCTTTAAAATAGTTGAAGAAGCGACCATTGCTTCCTTTTCATTTTCATTGCTAATTTTTGTCAGATTTCAATTAATATTATTATTTACGGTATGATGAGAAAATCTTCTTTTAGTTATTAAAATTAAGAACTATTAATGGATTTCAATAAAACAAATTTTCACTTTTGTCTTTTGCATCTTTTATTTGCTCTTTATTATCATCCCGTACATATCATCTTCCATCATCACTTTACTAAAGCTTTTATCAATTTTATTAAAACCATTAATAATAGATTAATCAATTTTACCAAAGTTGTCCAGTTCCATTACTTGTTCCGATTTAAAAGATATTATATAAGCTGTTAATAAGCTCATTAATGTTAATTGCAGAAATAAATTAGTTTCAGTCACATTTAATTGATATCAATTCAGTATGACTGAAACTAATTTATATGATTTGGTAAACAAATTCAATATCTGAAACCATCTTATTTTATTGGTAAACAATATTTAGAAAAAGTTTTTTAGCAATTTTTTTTTGGAATGTAATTTATAGGGATAGGTGGTATCTTCAATGAAATTTTTTACAGTTTTAATTGAAATTTTTTGCTAATAAATTTTAATTTATTGTGTGTGTATTTTCAAAATTCTGAAAGTTCTGCATTGCTTCTTTAAATATATTAAAACATACTGTGAGCAAGAGATTATATCAGAGAAAAAACTTACTTTTAACATTTTTTTTAAAATAGGATCAATATTCTGCAGAATCTAAATTCTAATTATTCCAAACAGATTGTCTAATTAGTATTAATCAATATTGATTATTTCGATTGGCAAGTCCATTGCATCGAAGACTTGAAACTTTCCTGTATTTAGAGCTTTAACTGTTATTCTCATTAAGAAGGAATATTTTTTGAAATTAACAACTGAGAATAAATAATTGTAAAATTTGGAATTTGAATAAAATACTCTGAGAATTTATCGAAATTGATAAAGCACTGTTGGAAGATTACCGATCGAAAGTTTATAGAACAATCATATCGTTCAGATTTTAATAGTTGATTTTGTGATCGTACATGTGACACCAAAATGGAATATGGAAAAATAAAAGAAGACAGTAAAGTTAATTCCTAATTCATTTGCAAATTGTCAGCATTTGTTTTTTGCATTGGAAAACTGTTTAACTGAGAAATTTTGCATTATAAATGAAAATTTTTTATTGATTTATTTAGAATTATCTGTAGATTTACTTCTCAAATGCAAAGCATTAAAAACATTAAATCTGAAAATTTTTATCAAACAATTTATTACAATAATCACCAAATGTCTTCATTTTTATTCTTTTTTTCAGTTTTTTTGGTGATTTCGGTCAATCTTTTGTATTAAGAAATTTTATAGCATAAAATGATTTAACATTCAAGCAGGCAGATATAAACAATAAAAACCACATATTTTATGCTTAAAAATTTCTCTTTCTTTAAACTATATATTCTATAAGTTTTGATCATAATAATTTTCTAAACCATAATACAACAGATAGAAAAAATTTATTTTTAAAATAAAAAATTAAAAAAATAAAACACAAAAACAAATATTAAGGATGAATGCGGTGGTTTAACAATAAATTATTTAAAAAATCTATGAAGAAAAAGATCGATAAACTATTAAAAAGGAGACAGAAGTAAACCAAAAAGATAAAGCATTATTTTCAAAATTTTGGAAAATTTATATTACTTCTTCAAATATACTAAAACACACTATAAGCAAGAAATTGTATCTGAGAAAAAATTTTACTTTTACCAAAATCGCTAATTAAAATAGGCACAACCATTGAAAAAAACCTCTAAAACACAATGCATAGTCAAAACTGAATTGTAAACGTGTCCATTACCAGAAAATAAATAACTGCCAACTCTCGATAACTCAAAACAAATGACCATGAAAACAATAAGGCCGATTCAATAACTCAAAACAGTATAGTGAATACGAGTAACTTATGAATTAATTGATTAACAATACTTTGCTTCAAAATATTACCAAAAGTCATTCCATAGAAAACATTCATTTAAATAAGAAAAAACAAAGAAAATTATATATCATGAAAACTGAAAACAAACAGACCACTCTCCGACAGTCGCAAACATAACTTAACTTATTCCCAACTAGAAAAAAACTAACACATAAAGTGAATAATGAAAAGAAAGCAAAAATAAACATACAAAAATAAAACTCTTATATAACACACGGAATTATATCAATTCAGCATTAAATATTTAGAGAAAAAACAAATAAAAACAAGAAATTTAAAATTCGAAACTACAGTCAAACAATAATACACTAGCATTAAAATAATAGATTAAACGATTTTTAGCAATATGATGAAACTCTCCAATAAAATAAAATATAAAAACAGAAGTATAACGACAGGCCAACATTGTCACCAAAGGCACAAAAAATAAACTTTGCTCAATTCAAACAATAAAATAAAATCCATTACGATAAATAGTAGAATAAAGAAAGAAAGAATTGTACCATAGAAATAAAGGAACAATACCATTCTAATCAAACAGAAAAAGGAACCAAAAAGTTAAGGCCAAAAAATTTTGAAATTTAAAAAAAAGGCATCCTTCAAAAAGTTCGTATATATTAGAATACTTGGAAGAATGGTAGAAGAATTTGCATCAAACATATTGTTAAATTTGGCGAATACTTCTCAATTTTCTGTTCAACTTTTTATCTTCTCTGATAGCTTGAGCATTTTTAATCAGAAATTAGAATACATAATTGATTTTTCAATGCAATATTGCAGCCAAATTGCATTCTAAGAATTTAATCTGTAAGATTTAAGTACTATTGGGAATCACTACATTTTTCCATCCTTTTCTCTTCTTCATATCTTTGAATAAAAGAGAAAGAAGAGGAAATTCATGTGTGCAAGTAATTTTTAAGGAATAAAACGAAAAGGCTTTTGTTGAGCTGTTAACAAGGCCTGAAAAAATTGACGTATTGTAAAACTATAACCTAAAGAAGCTACAATTTTCATTTTAAAACTCAAAATTCTTCTTATCTGTTTTCATTTGCTAGCGTTCATTTTATGGTAGTTTAATGCTCCTTAATCATATTCATAATCACTGATTATGAATATGGATTAAGGGAGTCAATTTGTATTGCTTTAAAAAAATTATTGTAAATAAAAATTCAAATTCAGTCTAATTTTGAGGCAAATTTTTGCTTCAGTTTATTACTGAAATTTTTTTTAGAGTAGTGGTAGTGAAAATCCCCCACGTTTAAAATCTTCTAGATATAAATTTAATTGAATTATTCAACGGCAATTCTTCCAATAAAAAATATAAAATGTGGAAGGAAAAAAAATAAACCCTCTAAAAGAAGAAAAAAGCAGAGGTGAAAAAGTTTTTTTATCATATCGTAAAAAGTTACTTAATTGTCATCGCGTTAGATGATATTTCAAATTGAATAACACACTAATCTTTAATTTACTTCTGGATTTCATTTTTTTTTAAAAGAATTCAATGTGTTCACAATTAAACAATGTCTGTTGGAAATGTAATTGGTTGCATACGAAAGGTTATGAAAAATGTATGAAATAAGGAAAAGCAACGCGTCATTTGACTGTGAAAGAAAACCATTAAAGCAAAGCAGTGAAATTAATCGAAAGAAATGAAATGTACCAAAGGTATGGAACGAAATGAGATGTCTGCACTGAATCGTGAAATGAGATGATTTTTAAAGAGATCAAGTGGAAAAAAAGAAAAATTGCAGGAATAAGTGGAAAGAATGAAAAATTGACATAACTGGAAGGCTCAAATAGGTTGAAATTATGATGGCTGAAAATAGAAGTTATTATCTATTTCAAAGATACAATTAAGCAAAAAAATGTTTACAAATTTAAAAATAAGCAAATACTAGAAAAAGAATTAAATTTATAAAATTATGAATGAATTGATGAAATATTATAAAGTCACGTCATATCTGTGGCACAACAAATAGCACGAATTAATTAAGTTAAGGGGAAAAACAGCAATACTGATGTATATGAAACATTAGAGTTATTTTGAAATTAATAATTTGAAGAGTTTTTAAATTTCAAAAAGAAGCCAAAATAATTTGATACATAAATGGAAGCATTAAGATTCACCTATTAGATGAGTTTTAAACACAGATACCTTTTCACTCAAGCTTATGAATCCGCGATTTTCGATTTCTTCTAGTGCCGAAAAGCTTAGAAATGATTTCAAAAAAAAAAAAACAATTAGCATTAATAATGTCAACGAGTATGCATTCCTAACCAACTATCATTTCTTTAATCTTTAAAAATCTAAAATTTCAAAATAGATAATACAAACATTAAAAATAACTAGATAAGAGTAACGAATTTTAGTTTTTCAATTATGTATTTTTACTTCTCTTTTAGTTTCTTAACTCTTGCATTTTAAACAGACGGACAATTACTTGTCCTCAGCAAAAAAAGAAATAAAAATTCATGAACTTGAAACATAAAACTCAAACTTGAAAGATAGGTAATGGCAGTGGTTTTAAGAGAAAATTGCTAACTTCCACG